TGCCTGATATATATGATCCATAATGGACTGTTGCCTGATATATATGATCCATAATGGACTGTTGCCTGATATATATGATCCATAATATGTTGCCTGATATATCCATATGGAATGGATATATGTTGCCTGGATGTTATATGATATATATGATCCATAATGGACTGTTGCCTGATATATATGATCCATAATGGACTGTTGCCTGATATATATGATCCATAATGGACTGTTGCCTGATATATATGATCCATAATGGACTGTTGCCTGATATATATGATCCATAATGGACTGTTGCCTGATATATATATATGATCTGATATATGATCCATAATGGACTGTTGCCTGATATATATGATCCATAATGATCCATAATGGACTGTTGCCTGATATATATGATCCATAATGGACTGTTGCCTGATATATTGATCCATAATGATATATATGATCCATAACTGATATATATGATCCATAATGTTGCCTGATATATATGATCCTGATATAAAGAACTGTTGCCTGATATATATGATATATGGACTGATCCTGATATATGATCCATAAAGAACTGTTGCCTGATATATATGATCCATAATGGACTGTTGCCTGATATATATGATCCATAATGGACTGTTGCCTGATATATATGATCCATAATGGACTGTTGCCTGATATATATGATCCATAATGGACTGTTGCCTGATATATATGATCCATAATGGACTGTTGCCTGATATATATGATCCATAATGGACTGTTGCCTGATATATATGATCCATAATGGACTGTTGCCTGATATATATGATCCATAATGGACTGTTGCCTGATATATATGATCCATAATGGACTGTTGCCTGATATATATGATCCATAATGGACTGTTGCCTGATATATATGATCCATAATGGACTGTTGCCTGATATATATGATCCATAATGGACTGTTGCCTGATATATATGATCCATAATGGACTGTTGCCTGATATATATGATCCATAGTGGACTGTTGCCTGATATATATGATCCATAATGGACTGTTGCCTGATATATATGATCCATGAATAATCCTGTTACCTGACAAATGTGAATCATTAAAGGGCTGTTTCCTGATATATATGAATCATTCTTCCAGTTTGCATGGTTACAAGCATCGCAAGGGTCAATAACACAATACCTCACTTAATACCAAAACAATATGATGCTTGTAAATACTTCACATCTATGCCTGTCATGCTACTTGATAATGTTTCAGTTTCAATCCAACATCTTTGTACTTGTTTGTTAAATAGATTGTAAGTAAGTCACAATTTGTTTTGTATTTGTCAAATAGCGATGTGTTCAGTATAGTGCTATCAGTGTATAAAATAGTTTTGAAATGTGGCCTGTCCAGGGACTGGCTGTCCAAAAAAGTGACCAGTCCTGAACAAACACAGCCAATCCCAAAAACTAAAACTCTTCATTGAAACCAAGTTAAGTTTATTTTTTTCGAATATTTCCCCCGACCAAAGGACTGCCTTACTTCTTTAATAGACCGTCCTTCACAAAATTAGACCGTCAAGGACGGTGGGACAGGCTATATTTAATACACTGGCGCTAATATACATCTCAGAGTGTCCCTTTAAGGAAACAGTTTCCTGTTTAACAGTGAGGATATTGGTCCACATGAACAAAGCTTTATAACATTGACATTTCAAAAACTTCAATCTATTTCTTCAGTTGTTGCAAATTCAGTCAACACAGATTGTTCTCAGTTCAATTTCTCTTAGGCTAACATTCAATCTGAGAAATAGTGTTTTTACTTAAAATGTAGATCTACAAAATATAATCCAGGATAATGTTTAACAGAGGCAATTTAGACTTGCCAAATCATTATAGCCTTGAGTTGGAATCCTATTTTAGACAATAGATCTGTACCCAGTCACTGAAATGTTTCAGGTAGAAACACTTGGCACTTAGCCACAAATCAAGACAATATATCTTCTTCTGTAATTCTAATATAACATCTGGCTAGCATACATATTATTGTTAATATTCTGATATATAAATAGCTTTGACATTTATCCCCATAAATATTCTAATATATCATATATCGTATGGCATGTAACATATGGCTATGATATATCATCCTCTCAAATTCTGATATAAGATATGCTATGATATACCATCCTCACAACTTCTTATATAAGATATGGCTATGATATATCATCCTCACAAATTCTTATATAAGATATGGCTATGATATACCATCCTCACAACTTCTTATATAAGATATGGCTATGATATATCATCCTCACAACTTTTTATATAAGATATGGCTATGATATACCATCCTCACAAATTCTTATATAAGAAATGGCTATGATATACCATCCTCACAAATTCTTATATAAGATATGGCTATGATATACCATCCTCATGAATTCTTATATAAGATATGGTATGATATACCATCCTCACAAATTCTTATATAAGATATGCTATGATATACCATCCTCACAAATTCTGATATAAGAACTTGATGTCTTGGTAAATGTACAGTGTAGTCCACAAGATTGAATGGGTGACAATTACAATGTAGAACTTGATGTCTTGGTAAATGTACAGTGTAGTATACAAGATTCAATGGGTGACAATTACAATGTAGAACTTGATGTCTTGGTAAATGTACAGTGTAGTCCACAAGATTGAATGGGTGACAATTACAATGTAGAACTTGATGTCTTGGTAAATGTACAGTGTAGTCCACAAGATTGAATGGGTGACAATTACAATGTAGAACTTGATGTCTTGGTAAATGTACAGTGTAGTATACAAGATTGAATGGGTGACAATTACAATGTAGAACTTGATGTCTTGGTAAATGTACAGTGTAGTCCACAAGATTGAATGGGTGACAATTACAATGTAGAACTTGATGTCTTGGTCAATGTACAGTGTAGTCCACAAGATTGAATGGGTGACAATTACAATGTAGAACTTGATGTCTTGGTAAATGTACAGTGTAGTTCTCAAGATTGAATGGGTGAAAATTACAATGTAGAACTTGATGTCTTGGTAAATGTACAGTGTAGTTCTCAAGATTGAATGGGTGAAAATTACAATGTAGAACTTGATGTCTTGGTAAATGTACAATGCAGTATACAAGAAACCTTAGAACTTGATAAGAAAATAATAAGAAAAGCTCAAATACATGAATGTCAGAAACTGTCACAAATGTTTAAATGTATTCACTCGATTACATCAGGATTTCTCAAAGAAAGTTGGTTCTGCTCAAAATTTGATGTATTGTTTTAGGAGACAAAATTTGAAGTTTGATTGCTCAAAACATCAGGCATATATTTCCTTGCTGACATTCATCATTCTCCCTGACTAAAACATAGACACATATAAAGAATATCTGGCAGACAACTACGTACATATCAAGACTATCTGGCAGACAACTATGTACATATCAAGACTACCTGGCTGAAAATGGTCTCATTGTCACTGTACGCATGTACATATATACATGTGTCTGACATTTTCACTGAATATGACAGGTTATATTTTCAGAGGTTAAATGACTGCATATACACATGATACAAGTGTAACTATTCTATCCTTTGTAAGATGAAGAAACAGGTACAGTGCTTCCTTCAATATACTTGATCCTGTGAGAGAGTGGTGTGTTTTTATGCAGCTTGTGGAATGTTCAAATAATATATTGCAGCAGGATACTAGAGACGGACTTCACACTTTATGGACCAAACCAACCTACACATGACAAAAAGGCCCTTTAACTAAGATACTTTGAGCCAAACAAACTTAATCATCTGCCAAGAGCTACAGCCTGCTATTCACTACAGATAGTGTATTAAACGCCATTTTTGACCGTTATTTGGTAGCATATTTCTTAAACAGAAAATATCCATAGGGTTAAAAATAAGAAATCCCAATTTTTTCTTGAAATGTGTTCTGAAATTGATCAGACGTAACCTACATTTCACATAATCCAGACTGAAATACCTCAGATTTCTTTCATGTGGACCAGACTTAAAAAAGTGACAAAAACCTTTTTGCAAATCTGGAATTTTAGAGAAATGTTTCAAACGCACGATCAAATGTTTGTAGTCATAATCGTGAAGTTCATTGAATCTTATTTCAAACTGTTACAACATAAAGTGTATACTGGCGATGTGAAGAAAGCACAATGTTGTAGGTATGCGTTGTCGCTAAACAGGAAATTGTAGCCATGTTCGATTGTACAGGGGACCACCGTCCAACAATGGCCCATTATGACGACAGAGTTGGGGAGTACATGTCACACAAGGTGACAAAATGCACGGTGGAGCAAACACCAGCAGTGATTTTCTATACAAGCCAGTGTTTAACAATGCTTGTAATTCCTCTTGTGGTAAATATTATCTTAGATTGTGTTTTCTTTCTTTATGTTATATCCTTACAATCCAGCGAAGAAAACATTTAAATCTGAATAGCTTGTTGTCAGAGACATTGAATAGTTTCACTTTTTTACCTCTCAGAATATTTTTTTCTGTGTTTAGTTGTCAATAGTAAAAACAGGAACGCGAGTCAGATATTTCCATATGTCAGAGTCCTGACGGTGATTTACAACTTGTGTAACGGACAAGTGAATAATACATATTCATGTACATACATTACCAATTCTAAAATCAGATCACCATGTTTCTTTAAACAATATTTGAAATAATGAACTGTCAATTTCATCGCCAGTACTTTCCAAAAGATGGGAATTATAACAATATGTATGTAATTAGTGCTTTCTTTTCACAAAACAATTAAGTATTGGATTTGATACAAGAAAACAAAAAAAATATTTGCTACCTAGGGAAAACATACAATAGTATATGTACAATTATTTGAAAGATTCACATTTAAATTTAAAATGGAATATGAATATCCAGGATATTATCACTAAAAGAAAGAGACAAATATTTAAGACAAATACTGAAGTGAACGTGACATTGTTGAAAAATAAAATGTCCGGGTTACCTGCCAACAGCAACAGACACATAATTCCCGTGTAGACAGCCATGTCTAATCCTGTCTATTGGTCTACTGTTGTCCACAGCTGTCTGTCAGCGATGTACGCACACGTTCCTCGCGACCCCTACAGTAGCAGCACGACTGTCACTCAGCAGCAGCAGCGTCCCACTCCTTCACATCCACACACGGTATCCCTCCTGCCTCCACTACAACGCTGTTCCGAGCAACTTCAACCTTTGCTGATGATCCTGCCAGGCTTACATCCAGAGTTAATTACCTGGAAGGGAAACACAGGCCAAGTGTAAAAACCAGTTTGTGACCACCCAGCGAAGACCAAGGACTACACTGTGGGTACATCCACTGACCACAGAGTTGAGAAATTGGCTCTCTGACACTGCTCAGCTGCTATTTGCAGCCCCGCGAAAGAAGTGGCCAAAGACTGAGAAAAACAAACATCGTGATTCTATGGATGCTGTGAGAGCAGACGACAAATAGTTAGAGACCAATGGTGGAACGGCAAACGTCAATATTGTGGGACAAAGTCACAGGGGTGTACGAGGAAGGAGGGAGAGTCGTTACAGACGTCAGTGGGGGTAGGGACAGGTGACAATACAGAAAGGGGAAAGGGAGAGTTGTTACAGAACTTGGTGATATTCTGGAAAGGTGGTAATAGCTGGTGTGTTTACAGTGTACAGGTGGTTGTAGCTAGAGGGTTTACAGCGTACAGGTGGTTGTATATAGTGGGTCTACAGTGTACAGGTGGTTGTATATAGTGGGTCTACAGTGTACAGGTGGTTGTAGCTAGAGCGAGCGTCTACAGTGTACAGGTGGTTGTATATAGTGGGTCTACAGTGTACAGGTGGTTGTAGCTAGTGGGTCTACTAGTGGGTCTACTACAGTGTACAGGTGGTTGTAGCTAGTGGGTCTACAGTGTACAGGTGGTTGTAGCTAGTGGGTCTACAGTGTACAGGTGGTTGTAGCTAGTGGGTCTACAGTGTACAGGTGGTTGTCTATAGTGGGTCTACAGTGTACAGGTGGTTGTAGATAGTGGGTCTACAGTGTACAGATAGTGGTCTTGTAGTTTAGTAGCTACAGGGTACAGGTGGTTGTACAGGTGGTGGGTCTACAGTGTACAGGTGGTTGTAGATAGTGGGTCTACAGTGTACAGGTGGTTGTAGATAGTGGTCTACAGTGTACAGTTGTACAGGTGGGTTGTATATAGTGGGTCTACAGTGTACAGGTGGTTGTATATAGTGGGTCTACAGTGTACAGGTGGTTGTAGATAGTGGGTCTACAGTGTACAGGTGGTTGTAGCTAGTGGGTCTACAGTGTACAGGTGGTTGTAGATAGTGGGTCTACAGTGTACAGGTGGTTGTAGATAGTGGGTCTACAGTGTACAGGTGGTTGTAGATAGTGGGTCTACAGTGTACAGGTGGTTGTATATAGTGGGTCTACAGTGTACAGGTGGTTGTAGATAGGGGTTGTACAGGTGGTTGTAGATGGGTCTACAGTGTACAGGTGGTGGTTGTAGATAGAGGGTCTACAGTGTACAGGTGGTTGTATCTAGTGGGTCTACAGTGTACAGGTGGTTGTAGATAGGGGTCTACAGTGTACAGGTGGTTGTAGATAGGGGTCTACAGTGTACAGGTGGTTGTAGATAGTGGGTCTACAGTGTACAGGTGGTTGTAGATAGTGGGTCTACAGTGTACAGGTGGTTGTAGATAGGGGGTCTACAGTGTACAGGTGGTTGTAGATAGAGGGGTCTACAGTGTACAGGTGGTACAGGTGGTTTGTAGATAGGGGGTCTACAGTGTACAGGTGGTTGTAGCTAGTGGGTCTACAGTGTACAGGTGGTTGTAGATAGTGGGTCTACAGTGTACAGTGTACAGGTGGGTCTACAGTACAGGTGTACAGGTGGTTGTAGATAGTGGGTCTACAGTGTACAGGTGGTTGTAGATAGAGGGTCTACAGTGTACAGGTGGTTGTATATAGTGTGGGTCTACAGTGTACAGGTGGTTGTCTACAGTGTATAGATAGTGGGTCTACAGTGTACAGGTGGTTGTAGCTAGTGGGTCTACAGTGTACAGGTGGTTGTAGATAGTGGGTCTACAGTGTACAGGTGGTTGTAGATAGTGGGTCTACAGTGTACAGGTGGTTGTAGATAGTGGGTCTACAGTGTACAGGTGGTTGTAGTACATAGTAGATAGGGTCTACAGTGTACAGTGTACAGGTACAGGTGGTTGTAGATAGGGGTCTACAGTGTACAGTGGTACAGGTGTGTACAGGTGGTTGTAGATAGGGGGTCTACAGTGTACAGGTGGTTGTAGATAGTGGGTCTACAGTGTACAGGTGGTTGTAGATAGTGGGTCTACAGTGTACAGGTGGTTGTAGATAGTGGGTCTACAGTGTACAGGTGGTTGTAGATAGTGGGTCTACAGTGTACAGGTGGTTGTAGATAGAGGGTCTACAGTGTACAGGTGGTTGTATATAGTGGGTCTACAGTGTAGAGGTGGTTGTATATAGTGGGTCTACAGTGTACAGGTGGTTGTAGCTAGTGGGTCTACAGTGTACAGGTGGTTGTATATAGTGGGTCTACAGTGTACAGGTGGTTGTAGCTAGTGGGTCTACAGTGTACAGGTGGTTGTAGCTAGTGGGTCTACAGTGTACAGGTGGTTGTTGCTAGAGGGTCTACAGTGTACAGGTGGTTGTAGCAATAAGTTTGATAGGAAAGGGGCACGAGGGGTGGGGTAAGATCCATGGGCCGTGTCACGATATTGCTTGCATATCCACATCAGCATATATTGATTAGTTAGATGGATTGATTCTGATGTTCAATTCCCTTCCCACTGACCCTGCACACTTCCAATATGTCCCTAAACAGCATTACATTCCCAGACTAATGACAAGATGTTAGTTGTAGTGATGACTGCCTGTTTCATGCTGGAGGCACTTCTACATGGATCAGTCAGGGCTACAATCACGGGGTTGAATGGTGCTCAAGGCCTATTTATATACCACAAAATGTATCTCAATATTGATGGGCTTCACATGAAAATCAGTTAGAACTGTCAGGACTTGGTAAGTTTGTGGTGAAGAAGTGTGTGTCATGTAACGAACCCACACAAACCACACGACAACCGGTCATGATGCAGCGAGTCCACCCCTGCTGACGTGTTTACAGAAGTGCTAGTTATTGCAGGGATTAGATAGACAGGCGTTGTCAGATGCCATGGATACACATGCAAGCACTAATGCCACATCTCAAGGGCATATCAATTCGTCAACAATTCAATTGAAATAAAACACTGACTTCATTGTGTTTCATGTTGACTTCACTATGTTTAATGTAGCTAAATTGTAATGCACAGTTAAAATGGGGTCAATGTTCTGTGCTTCAATGTAACGAAACCAACAACACGGGTATTACTAATGAAGTGTGACGATGAAGCCTCAAACTGAGGGACCATTCATAATTTATGGCTAGGGGGGTGATGATGATTTTAAGGGGGGTCACCCATTTTGTTCTGGGAAGGTTGGAGTGGTCTGTTTTGTACGCATGCACTTGGGGGGCTCAGCAATTTTGTACATATAAATATTTTTAAAATTTTGCTTAAAAATTATGGGAATGGGAGGGAGGTCATTGATTTTGTACATGACATGCATTTGAGGGAGGGGGGGGGGGGCACTTACTTTGTACATAAATTTTAGGGGGATCATTCACATTGTATATGCTTCTCCATAAAAATCATCATCACCTCCCCAAGCCATAAATTATGAGTATTCCCTTAATGCTGCAATTCAAAGTACAGCATACATGACGACATCATACATTCCATGAATAGAAAGTGACCAACATCCCAGCTGATGTGAGGCAGTCCTTCACTACTGGGGTGTAGTACTGTGTTAGTCGGCCAGGCAAACCAGGGGTCGATAACAACAGCTAGTACATATCCTGGCAAAGTTGCTAGAGAAGGATATTCAGTGAAGCAAGCAACAATTTTCTACAGTTTGCAAGTGTGGAAATACAGATGTATTCTGTCCAGAATCCAGACAATATACAAGGTTAATGCAGATTTATCCTGCTGGGAATCCAGTCAATACAAAAATAAGGGAGATAACTGCTGGACACGTTTTCACAGGAAGCACAGTTTCATCTTCCTAAATAAATGCTTGATTATCACAAAGCAATATTGACTGCTAGGAGATTGACAAGGCTGTGATACACAACATCCAGCTGCTCTGTGTTTGTCAACAAAGGTGTGATAACACATCACTTCTGCTGGGAATACAGACATCAAACACACATCCTTGACCATTCATTGTTTCACTGGCCTCTATATTTCTGACATTTGACCTCTGACACGGTCGAGTCTGACAACTTGCTGCATTCTAGTGTTACATAATTAATACTAGCAATATCACCTGTTTACTTGTCCTAAAAGATGTTCTAGTTTTGACTCAATAAATCCTAACCTATTGATAACAATTGACTTCAATATTTTCTGAGTTATGACTGTATAAAATGTCATGCAATCCTGGTTTTCATGTGTTGTTAATGTAAAGAGAAACATCTTTGTTATGGTAAAAGTGAGTGAGTGAGTGAGTGAGCGAGCCAGATGGAGAGACAGACAAGTCACACAGCACGACAGCCTGATCTTCATCAGGTGTTTTCCACAACAGACAGATGGCTCTAGGGACCTACTCTGCCCTGAAGTGTCTACAGAAGTAAACATATAACTTAGTTGTATGTGGGACTGTTTAACTTTGTTTTTTATGGGACTTTTTAACTTTGATTTTATTTGGACTTTTCAACCACTGCAAAATTAATCTTCGTCATGCTTATGACACCTAGAGATGAAATGCTTCTGTTCCCGTGTATTCTTCTGATGAGATCACGTGTATATGAAAATGATGCACGATTATCTAGGTCCTCTAAGAAACAGATATATTCAGCACAAGTCTACACCAAATGTCATAAAAATATTCCCAGATTAGAATTCAATAAAGACAGGGTGGATTTCTGGATGTCATCTTATGAATGTCAAGACATTTCAGAGTTATAGTTCTACCTAATCCATCCCTTGATGAAAGAAGAATATACACTGAAACGTCATGTTTCTCATGATACAGAAGTTGACATCTACCACTTGTAAATGCTGTTCAAACATTTTTCTCTAATTCAGTAGTTCTCATTTCTAGTTATGGATACATATTTGTATGTTATATTAGCGATGCTAATTCTTTTTCAACAATAATATGAATAAGAAAGATAATACT